GCTGACTTGCTTTTGCCAGGGCTCTTGCTCAAGGTACTTCTGGGTGTGATCTGTAGCCAGAGGAGAATGATATTTTGTGTTGCTTGACTGAGCAAGGGCTGCAGTGGAAAATGTTCTCACACTGTGGGCAAAGGAGATGTTGCTGAAACACAGCAGCTAAATGAGTAACAAAGTGTTCCTTGTGTAACAGGGAACAGGAAAACCAACTGTGCCTTGGCTGATTTGGCCTAAAAATAAAGGTAAAAACGGTGAAATAAGGGGTTATTAAAGTTTTTAACTGAACAACTTTTTATTTATTGCAGAAAAAAATAATTTATCTTTTATTGAAACATCTGCTCTGGATTCAACAAATGTAGAAGAAGCCTTCAAGAACATCCTTACAGGTAGGGTTTGTTGTGGATTCAGAGGAGCTCCTGAGGTGGTGGATCTTCTTCATGGGCACGTTTTGCAGTTATCTGGAATGTTTTGGAAATGAATGCTGGGAATGATGGTTAGTTTCCAAGCCTTCTAATCTTACCTTTGTGTTCTGCCTCCCACTGCACACGTACCTTTCTGCCCATGGAGAGGGTTTCTATCTCCTGATGTTCCATAAATCCAAGCTTTTGCCATAGCACTGTTGTAAAGGAGGAGGAGTAGTAGTTTTGTGCCTGCACAAAATCTCAGCAGTGAAGCCACAGCCATGCTGGGAAGTTCAATGTTCCAATGTCTTCTCTTGCACCAGAGCAAACTGGTGCTTTTGTCAGACCACTGAACTCTTGTTCTCAGCTGGTGGCAAGGGTTGTGGGGGACTGTGCACCAACAGCATCTTCTGCAGAGAAGGACCTGGGGGTCCTGGTGGGTGACAAGCTGACCGTGAGCCAGCCGTGTGTCCTGGGGCCAGGAGGGCTGGTGGGATCCTGGGAAGAGCATTGGCAGCAGGTCAGGGAGGGGATCCTGCCCCTCTGCTCAGCCCTAGGGAGGCACATCTGCAGAGCTGTGTCCAGGTTGGGGCTCTGCAGGACAAGAGAGACAAGGAGCTCCTGGAGAGGGTCCAGCAGAGCCACAAAGATGATGAGGGGTCTGGAGCACCTCCCTTCTGAGGAAAGACTGAGGGAGCTGGGCCTGGTTAGTGTGGAGAAGAGAAGGCTGAGAGGTATCCTCATCAGTCCATCCAAATATCTCCAAGGGCTGTCAGAGGATGGTGCCAGACTCTTTTCAGTGCTGCCCAGAGACAGCAATGAGCATTGAGGAGCAGTGGCCATAAACTCAAACACAGGAAGTTCCACCTCAACATGAGGAAGAACTTCTTTCCATGGAGGGTGGCAGAGCACTGGAACAGCTGCACAGAGAGAATGTGGAGTCTCCCTCTCTGGAGACATTCCAAATCCACTTGGACGTGTTCCTGTGTCACCAGCTCCCCGTGACTGCCTTGGCAGGGGGCTGGGCTGAATGATCTCCAGAGGTCCCTTCCAACCCCAGTTGTTCTGTGATTCTGTGAAGCTGATATTTCAAAGCAGTGTCCCACTCTGAAAAAAGTAATTGGCAAAGAACCCTTAGAAGTCTTATCTGAATAGGAAGAGGGAGATCAGGCAGGTNCATCTCAAGATGGGCATTTTCTGAGCTTTCTTTGACCAGATATCGATTTCAGTTAAACAAGAACAGGCCTTTGTTCTGGTTCTGCTTGATTATGGAGCAGTGTCTGGTCTATGTTACTTATTGGATGCTGACCAAAAAAACTGGCTTTGCCTTACTGTTTCTTGATTATGTATCAGTGAGAGTCTATGACTGGAAAAAAAGCTGAGCATTAATAAGGTGAATTCTGAAGGCAAGCTCTTTTGGGATCTTTTTGCAGGGGTGTGCAGGGAAGCACTAGAAAGTGTTGAGGCCACTAAGTCTGTTAGTAACAGAAATGTGTTGCAATTAGAGGAAGATCATAGAATCCCAAAATTATTTGGGTTGGGAGGAACCTTAAAGCTC